CCTCTTAAACTTCAAAGAGTCCAGTGAAAACTATGGGCCCTTGATGGCCTCCTACTAGATAAGCCCTGGACAGATCAGAGTTTGGGCTAGTTCCCTTTGCTAGTCATCCCAGCACTCCCTCCCTCTGCATACTCACCTGGTGCTCCCCAGGGCTTGAAGCAGGTGGCTGAGTAGCACCGTCTTTAGGACAGTTTGTTCTCATCAGTGCAGCCCCTTGTGCTGGGTAGTAAATGTCTTGAGGCTTTACTTATTCCTACAATGCCTAAAGATTTTTCTCTCTCTTCCTGCCTCTTGGCCTGAGCAATAGGAGAGCTATTTCAGCATCTTCTAGCACCTCCTGGGAGGCTGGCCTTCTTCAGTTGGTCTCAATGACCAAAGCAGGGTGAGAGCAGTTGAGCACAGACTACAGGTCTCCTGTCCCTGGGAAGGCTGTCATGTCCACTCCAGCACTTCTGAGGAGGGGCTGTGGCTGTGCTGGTCTTTGCAGTTGAGGACTAGCCCTGGGTGCTCCTCACTAGTCTGGGCCATACAGGGCCAGGGCACTGCTTTCTACTTTCTGGAGCAAGAAGGCCTCAGATGGCTGAGCTTTTTGGGAGGCTCCAGTCCATGTGTGCACCCCTCTGAGGACATCTTTGTGACTGTGTGCATCTCCTGAACAGCTCTCTCAGGTTGGGGCTGTGTGCACAAGCATAAATGAGCAGGAGGGGCCTCAGAAGGCTCTGTTACCTTCTGTTTGAAGCACTTGATGAATCATTTAAAAAGTTTAAACTGAGCAAGTAAAGGTTTCAGGTGCCGGGGTGGGGCTGACTGAGAAATTGGAGTATTCAGCTGAGAAGGCCTCTGCTCACCTTTCTTACAGGCCATCCCTATCCTCGCCCCCGTGGGGCCCATTGTCTGCCCAGAACAGGTTTCTGAGTAGTCCGTGTGAATGGTACCTCTGGGTTTGATATAGTTGTTCTGTATCCTGCGACCAACGGGACTGCTGGTTGGTGTGTCTGGTGGCCTAGGTTTCAGTGGGCACGGATGGCCCTGTTATGGGAAGACCCCAACATCTCCCTCCCCCAGCAGACATCTCCCATCTGTCTTCTCTGCTCCCAGCATGGGGCTGAGAAGGTGGTGCCCCTGCCAGAGGCTGCTCAGCTCCTCCAGGGCTGCTCTGCACCTGAGAACCAAGGCTTACTTGGGCCTTCCTGACCTAGTCTGGGCCTCTGGGTCACACCTGCATGCTATACACCCCTCCCCCACACTCCCTTTTCCTTTTCACCACTACCCCATACACACACACACACACTCTCTCTCTCTCTCTGTTTTGCTCTCACACTTACATTCAGGTCTCACACTGGGCTGGGGCTGAGAACACTTGAGGGTTGGTGCCAAAGGGCTGTCTGGGGCAAGAGAGACAAGCCAGTGAAGGGACCCCAGGACCTGCCCTCCAACCCAACTGCAGTCCCCTGGAAACAGAGTCCCTTCTTGCCTGGGGCCAGGGCATAGGCCCTTGCCATCTGCTGTAGAGTGGTTCCTGCTGCTGAGACACTGGACAGTGAATGAGAAGGGTATGTAGGCCAATCCTTAAGGCCCTGCATCCATCACCAGGAGGAGCTGGAGTCCAGCCCCTGTCCCCAGGCTGGCCACAGGGGGTCATTTGCTCTCCAAGAAGGAGTGAGATCTAACCAGCTAGCCACTCTGGGGGCACCAGAACCTCTTCCCAGGCTGGGCCTTGACTGCTGACTTGCCTGGAATGGTCGTGCCCACCCCACCCTGCCCATTGCCCTTTCATCTTTTTTTTTAAGACTTTATCTTGAAATAACTTTAGACTTATGGAAGAGTTGCAGAGAGAGTATGAAGTTTCTGTATACCATTCACACAGCTTCCCCTAATGCTGAATGTCTTACATAACCATTGTTCTGCCTCCTTTTTATGCACTACTTGCCAGTAGGGGAGGCCTGGGTGTGAAACACCTGGTTGAAGCCATCTCTGCCACAGCTCCCACTGGTAGCTAGGACTGCCAGCTAAGCTTCAGTCCACATAGCAACCTGGCTTCAAGTTCCCAGGGTGTCATGGGCCAGGCAGGAAGGGCTGCACACTAGTGGCCAAGGTATCAGTGGGCACGGGTGGCCCTGGAGGGGAAGACCCCAGCACCTGGGCAAGCTCTCTCCCTTCCCCAGCGGGCATCACCCATCTGTCTTCTCTGTTCCCAGCATGGGGCTGAGAAGGTGATGCCCCTGCCAGAGGCTGCTCAGCTTCTCCCAGGGCTGCCCTGTACCCGAGAACCAAGGCTTACCTGGGCCTTCCTGACCTAGTCTGGGCCTAGGACATCTCAGGCAGAGCGCCCCACTGGGCGGCAGAGGGGGGAGGTGGCTGAGCAGATGTGTGGAGCAGTGAGGCCCCTGTAGTGGAGTGGGATCTGGGGCAAAAACTAGGCCACGCAACTCAGTGCAGCAGCACCTCTAGGTGCAGTACCTTGGACCCTACAGGTAGGTCGGGCATCTGTGAAGATACAGTTGTAAAATGTCCCATTTTGGGGCCCCATAGCAGGTGCTATGAGGAACTGTGAGGCCTTCCTTAGATACTTGTCCTGGGCCAGTCACCCCCTGCTTTGGGTGAAAAAGAAACTCAGGTCACTCCTACCCCTGGCGTTGCCCCCACTTCCAACCCTCCCAACAGCTTGGCCCAGGCAGAAGGGCCCAGGGAGGTGGGGATAGACGGGGGTGCCTTGAGGGTAGAGATTTTGTCCTCAGCTAGTTGAAGAAAAAATATTACAAAGGCCTTGATGCTCCAGGAAATAACTGACTCAGGCTTCTAAGGTATCTGCAGACTTATCACCCCTGTCAGGGTTGACACAGCTCTCTGGTTTGAAGTCCTCTGTTTTGAAGCCACTATTTTCAACCTCTGTAAGCATTGCTGGGGAGTCACAAGCTCAAAGTCCCTTATTTCCCCCAGCTTTCAGACTATGTTGTATGAAATAAGCCCCAGCCTGGACAAACTAAACTGAAGGAGAAAGGTGTTAGAGGAAGCAAGATGGGGACAGTTTTGTTTCCCTGACTAAGCTACTTCTGGGTCAGTGGTCTGACAGGAGAGAGGCATTGCCGCCACCTTTGCCTTTGTGGTGCTGGACAGGCTGGGAGAGGGAAGCAGTGAGGAGATGGGCACCGTGATACCTGTTCCCTAAGGCTGTGGTGAAGATTGAATGGTACGATGTCTGGAAGGCCCTCAGCACAGGTGCTGGCACGTTGTGAACACTTCAGTTAGTGGTAGCCTGCAGGGCCTCTCATACGGCAGCATCTCAGGCTGTCTGGCCTGAGTCCTGGGAAGGCCTGTGGATGAAACAAGCAGGCGTTTCTAGAGCTGACAGGGAGGGTAGAAGGAAGAGGCTACTCAAGGGGTGGGGATGTCTACAGCCAACCATGTTCCTGGTTTCCCTGACCAAAGCTGACTGTGCATGATCAGGGAGGCCGGGGACTTGCCGGGCACATGCAGGCAACACACTCCATGGGGCCTTCCTGCTGCAGTGACTGTAGGACCTGCAGTGCCCAGGCCTTCAGTGGGCGGTGAGGGCTTTGGCTGGTATGGGAGTTGGGACACAGGTCTGTGCTGTAGCCCCATTCGCTCCTGGTCCTGCCTCTGTGCCTGGTCCTGTGTACGTGAACAAGAGATTTAACCTCTCTGAAGCCTCAACTTCCTTACCTGTAAAATGGGGATGATAATATCTAGCTCAAGGTTATTGTGAGGACTAAATCAATGTACTTTATGAGCCCTCAGAATAAATGGGCCATCCTCTCCCCTTTGACCAGGTTTCCCTGGTGGTAGGTTCTTTCCTCCCAGACCCAGAACAACTCTGCCCATGTTGCTGAGTGGATGAAAGCGGTGTGGGATTAGACATGTGCATGAGGGAAGGGAGAAGGGGGTGGCCTAGAGGGTGGCCGATATCGTGAGAGGGCTTTAAAAAGCTCACTACACCCCATCTCATTCTAGCTACTGTACCAGGCTACAGAGAGAGGAGGCAGAAAAAGAGATACCAAACACAAAAATAGAACCAAAACAAAGATTGCCCAAGGACTAGTTTAATTTACGAGATTCATGCATTCATGACTTTGAAAAAGTTTAGAATTCTTACTGCTTATGAGTTTGATGATGGTGGTGGTTTTGAGATTTATTATAAGTGGCCACAGATCCTTCGAGGCCGAGGCTGACCATCAGCCATTTTAAGTATGTCCTTACGAGAAGAGAGGCTAATTGCCGGCCAGAAGTCAGCTGACAAGTGAAGCATGGTTGGGGTCCTTCTTGACCTGGGGAGTTTTTTAGCACTCAGATCTCTTAATGGAGCACTTAGCCCTGAAGAGGGTTCAGACTTCCAATTCCAGAACATTCTGAGGAAAAGCAGGAATGCCAGGCTCAGGGGACACCACGCAGGCTTCAGCCACCCGTCCCACTTGACTTGGTGTTCATCCTGTCTTCATTATTGTTTTGGTGCTGAGGGCACTGACCATCAGAGTATAGAGGTTGAGGGCACATTCTAATACTATGTATTGCTCAGGTATGAAAAACCAGTTTCTTGTTTATTTTGTTAGGGTCTGACACCTCTTCTTAGGAGATTTTAATGCCAGCCACTCTTTTACCCTTGTGTGATGGCTTAGCTATATCTGAAGAAACATCTCCTGGGCTTCCTGTAGGTAAGGTAACATGGTGCTGGCTGGTTTAAAAGCCAAGTAGGGTTAGCCAACTTTAGCACAAACAGCAACAGACATTTCTTAATGGTCTCAACTCTAGCTGCCCTGATGTGAGGATGTGTTCTGTAGGTTTCCTAGCGCTTGTTCCTGAAGGAATAGAATGTCCTTAGTCTGGACCCTTCCTCATTAGCAACTGGCAGGGGCAGAAACACACCCAGTCAGCTTAAAGGCTTTCACTTGCTGTCACCCTCCCTTGGCCTGGGGAGACTCTCCTCTGTAGGGCATCAAGTTTGTACTGGCTCACTCTCACCTTCTCTCCCCTTCTCCCTCCAGTGTATGTGGTGGAAGACCAAAGAAGGGATGACCTGGGCTCAGCAACCTGCCTTACAGCCTGCTGGACTGCTCTCTGTTGCTGCTGTCTCTGGGACATGCTCACCTGACCATCACAGTTCTCCTGTCCTGCCAGCGCTGCCGCTGCCTCTTGACGAGTGTGCCTGCCCCATCTCTTCTGATCGCTGAAACAAATGACTAGCTCTGCCCGGGCACCTCTGCCTTCACCCAGTGGGATTCTAGATTAGTGGGAGTTGCTGCTGTTTAATTCATTGACTTGATCAATGTTCAGAATCCGGTTCTTATTGGTCTTTAATGAATGTGCTAAATGACACTCCTTTTGTTTTGGCCAAAGGCTTATGAAATATGTATATCTATAATTTTGAAATTATACACTCAAGGTAGTGGCAAGATGTAACACACCACTCAATGATTTCTCTGCTAGCACCCTGTATGCGTCAATAAATTTGTCCAAACCTCAACTGTCTGCATTATTCCAGATAGAATCTAAGCCCTTAGTCTGCGTTCCTATGCGCCTCCTGGACTCTATTACCATTTCTAACTACTCATCTGCTCACCCAAGTCCCAGATTAAGGCTTGTAAAACATAGATATCTCAAGTGCCACTATCCAGTATCTAAAGAGGAACCTACTTCCCTTGCACTCCAGTACTACACAAGTAGTGTGGGTGTGTCAGGAAGGTAGGTTCCAAGGCTAGGTGTCCTCAGGCCCCTGGCCAAGCTGGCATTCTCTCCCTGGCCCGACTCAGAGATGCGCTCAGGCAGGAGCACTCACTCACCAGGGAGCTGCATCCTTTTTCCCAGAACCTAGGAAAAGGTGCCTCTGTGTAGGGCCAGACCCGAGCTTTCTTTTCCTGCTGTCCCTTCCACCCCTCCCCCCTTAATACGCATATCACAGGAGAGAGCAGTCCCGATGCAAACAACAAACGAGCCAGCCCTGCCGTCCATCTCCGCTTTGGCCGCAGGGTGGCGCTGAGCTGCCGCAGCAGCGAATCAGGTTTTCCTTCTTCAGCGGGCCTGCAAGGCGAGCCTCCAGAGATGAGGCTGCAGTTGGCAGCTCCCTCTCTGCTCTCCTGCCCGCCTTTCCCCCTAAGCAGTGGCGGGCAGATAAATGTTTAACTACCTGCTCTCTTTAAAAAAAAAGAAAAAGCCATGGTTTTGTAGCATTTTCTGATTTCTGAGTTGTAAATGCTCCCACTTAGGCTGATTTCAAGCTACCAAAGTGACATCACAAAACACAGTTGGAAAGAGAAGTACAGGAGCACCCATTATATGGATTTCCACCATCCAGATACAATAGACTATTAACCTCATGAACACAGATAATCATAAAGTGTAGTAAAATAATTAAGAAGAGATGAGTTTTAAATATTATCCTTGTTTTTAATACAATTTCACTGTAAGTTTACATAATTAATAATGGATGTGTTTAACAACTGGCTTGCAACAAAATTTCTGAAAATGTACTAATTAGCTCTCGTGAGCCACTACAAGCCGGCTCTGGCATACCACTGCCCCCAAGCCTCAGGAGACCTCAGGATTGTGGTGTCCACTTCTTCATGATACTAACCAAAGGGAGACAATCTTGGAGGTACTGCTGGTTTATTACTGGATTTTCTTTTGGAATCTTTGGGAAGAAGTGGGGGAAGGAATCTTTAGACTGCCCGAGAGGAACAGTTGTTCTTCTGTTCATTTAAATGCAGCTATACCCTGGTCTTCCTTCTTCCCTATCTGTACACTACGTGGAGGCCCATAAGCTGAGACAATTACTCAAAGGACCAGAAAGGAAAAAGAGAAAAGGGCAAGATCCCAACCGCCAAGGAGGGACAGGCTTCCATGCAGAAGGGGGAGGACCCGGCCCCGGAGCAGGGCTGGCAGGAACTGAGATACACAGAGGTTGGCCACTGCCTCTCTGGCCTCTGTTCTCATCCTCAGCTCAAGCAAAGCAGGCAGAGCAGAGTGGGACAGATGGCTTTATTGGTTTGACCAGCGTGGTACCAGTGGTGGGCTCAGGCAGAGCTTCCCTATAGGTCCTGGCTCCCACCTTCCCTCCTGGGAGTTCATGCCCCACCCCCAGGGGAGGAGTGTCCTGGGCAGGAGTGGCAGGCAGAACCAGGATAAGAAATATAGAGTTGTGATCTGCAGGGGACTCAGGGTAATGAAGAAAATGTAGGGTGATGAGGCCACCCAGTAAAATGTCCATCAGGGCAGAACAGAGGCTTTCCTTGCATAGGACCCCACCCTCGTCAGGAATGGAGGGGTCCAGAGCATCCCCTCAAGGCCTCCTACTGGGCCCTTCGTGCCATCAGCATCTCCCGGATATTGTCCTCAGCTTCCTTCACGCTTCTCTCAAGGTAGGATTTTCTCTGCTGCAACATGAGAAAGAAACAAGGTTAGGACCAGGGTGAGGGAGCCACACTGGCGAAGACAACTTCTGCACCCGATAGTTATGGCTTCTCCTTCGGGATCAGTGACTTCCAAGTGGAGCATACTGGCTACTAGAAGCCAGGTACACACACCTGCCCAGAGTCCCCGTCCTAACCCAGAAGGAGGACCCAGGGGCAAAGGGGAGGAGGTGGCTTGGTACAGGAAGCAGAAGCACTCTGTGGAAGACAAGCACTCTTCCCCCAGAAGGAAGTAGACTCTAAAAACAGGCGTCTCAGTACATGAAGTTATAGCAGACAGACAAAGGCCAGGAAATTCCAGGACAAAGCTCCTGTGCCATAACAGACTGTCTCCTCTCAAGGTTTTCCATGGTCTGGGCCAGACGCCTGTAGCTACTGCTGCTGCGGAACTGCCAGTGCACACTGCTCCTTCCAGCGAGCTGGTGGCTGCCTGAGGACTGGGAAGCTGTATCACACACCTCATTGAGGCAGCTGAGTCAGGATGGAATCTGCTTTTCTAATGAATCTACTGCCTGCCAGGAATCCAGGACAGTGACACACAGTAAAACAGATCTTTAGACATTTACTTCCCACCCCATCTGGGTCCTAAATAAAAAATCCCGTCTTAGACAAAGAACTACTTTCACATCTGGACCCAGATTACAAAAGATTAGTCAAAGGAAATAATGTCTGTCCATTACCTGCCCTGTGGTCAATCCCAGAAATATGGTGGCTTCTTCATAGTGGCCCCTGCCCTGAGGACATAGTTGTGGCTGTATTCCCACTTAACTGACATGAAATGAAGGCTCCGTTTTTAAGGAACACTATCCATGTCCTGAGAGAATAGTTAACACCCTCCCAGGGTGCACAGGACTGCTTGAGCCACAGTTGAAGCCAGTAAAGCAGAGCCCAGCCCAGGCATCCACACATGGCCCATGCCCTTCTCTGTCCCCACACCCTTCACCCAAGAAACTGTAGGCTCAGTTCAACCACTAAAGTGCCCATATGACCTGGGGAAGTCACAGAAAGGTTGGGGAAGAGGGCAGGTGAGCTACACATCACTGTGTCTTGCTTGGGAACCCCAACTTCTCAGATGGAAAAAGAAATGGATGTCCCTTATTCCCGCAAGGGCTTCACCATTAAACCTCTCTGGTGCTCCTCTATATATCCATGCCTCTAACTTCTTCCACTCCCTGTCCAGAGAGACAGTACACTTAGAGGCTTTTTCCTATAGATGCCAAATGTTATGGCATACACAAACCCTTATCCAGCCTGTGTGAAGCTCTCATTCCTATTTGTCTTCTAATGTCTAATTTCCTTAAGACTAGAAACAGCCATGTCTCCCATCTGCCCTACTTGCACACATTCCTTACAACAAAACAGGAGCTCCATAAACAATCCATAGAGATCATGATAACAATTCAACGGGCACAAATGTATTGTTGCTAAGGAATTTTGTTTAATTACACTGCTAACCTGATTATGGTCCTATCATTGTGATATCAGAGTGGAAACTTAAACTTCCTTGGATAAACAACCCTTAGACTTTACTTGTGGTGACTTAAAATGAGGCAAATACTAATAACTCCTGACGCACCACTCAAGAATGCATGTGCCCTGGGTGTGCACAGAAGGGGAGCAAGCAAGGTTCCACCTCTGCAAGGGTTAGCCAGTGCTGGGGGGCCCAGTCTGTTGCATTCGATCTCTACTAACTTGCTGCCACAGATGGCAAAACCATAAACTGGAACACGAGCAAGAGCTTTTCTGCCCTACTGCCCAGGCCTCTTGGGCAACTAAATTCAGGTTGTAATTCTCAGTTTTAAAATTACAACAGATGGGGCATTCCCAGCAGTGTGGGACCTGCTTTCTGACTGTATTTCAGTTGTTCCTCTCCATTCCCAAAGCACATCTAAACCCAGAAGACCCTCATAATCAAATCCGGACCAAGGAACCTGAAACGAGAGCTGCTCCCAGAGTCAGAGTCCATCCCAAGGCTCTTCTGGACCCAGAGGACCTACCCTGCTGTAGCTTTTGACCACACTAAATTGCAGAGGCCTGGGTAAGTGTCCCTAAAAGTTCATATGCTGGGAATCACATTTATCCCAAAAATAATTGTGGCAAAATCGACCCAAATACAAATGAGACCACCAGAGAGGATAGAAAAAATAAAGGAACCAATGATTGGGTCAATTTTTTTCTTTGTTGAGTCTCCACAGCTTCTTTCTAAAACTTCTAATCAAGCCAGAAACTCTACGGACCCCTGTCTTCCCCATTTCTGTAAATGACAACTCCATTCTTGGCAGTGGTCAAGATAAAAACTTTGGTGTCATCCTTGAATCCTCTTTCTTTAACCCCTGACAGCCAATCAGCAAAACAAATCCTGTTGGCACTATGTCAAAATGTATCCAGAATCTGATCTTAATGCAATAGCCTCCTAACCAGTCTCCTTTCTTCTGTCCTTGACCCCCTTAGTCTCTTCACACAGTAGCCAGAGTCATCATTAACACTTAAAAGCCTCCAGTGGCTTCCCATCTCACTCAAGGAGTAAAAAGGAAAGCCTTTTCAACTGCCAAAAAGCCACGTATGGCCTTGCTCTCCACTAACTCTGTGACTCACCTAAAATTCTCCTCTCACTCCTTCAGCTCCAGCCTCAATGGCCTCCTTGCAGTTCGTTCCTCCAGCCCACCAGGCATGTTCCTGCCTGGCCACTGCCTTTGCTCGGAACCCTCTTCCCTAGATACCCACATTACCTGCTCCTTCACTTCCTTCAGGCCTTTATCAAATATCACCTTATCTGAAAGGCCTTCCTGATTACATGCAGCTCTATACTCTCCATTCTTCTTCCCCTAATTTTTCTCCATAGCACTTAACCACCACCTGAAACAGTATTTATCTGTCTTTCCTTCCTAGAAGGAATGGTTCACAGGATAGGACTTTGCTTTGTCCCCTGATACAGTCCCAGTGTCTAGAAAGAGTGGCTGATCCATACAGTAATCAAAATTCAAAACTTGTTGAATAATGTGTATTTATTACAGGGAAAGATGCCTTACTGATTTACTTGTACATACACTGCTCCTTTTTAATTCTCCCTCCCAACTTTAATGAATAAGAAACACACACCAAAGAAAGCAAAGGTAGAAACGGACCATTCTCCTTCGAGGTGGTTTTTAGTTTTTGGTATAGCCCTCCAACCTCTGCCCTGGATATGCCTAGGCTTAAAACTCAAACCTCACTGATCCCTCTGAAGATATCAAAGCCTGGCTCCACAAAGAACAGGCCCTCAGGGTCAGGCTCTTGTGCTTTGCTTAACAAGGGGATAATGATAGCTGGGTAAACCTAGGGGGGCTTTAAACCTCCACCAGGAGTCCTGGAAAGGCATTAGCTGTCCTCAGTGTAGCATCTTTTTGTCTTGTTATGCAATTTCCCTCAGAGCCCTTCCCCTAGGAAATTCTCTGGTGGCATCAAACCACAAAGCTCTGGCTGCAATGACATTCTTGTGGAGCCTAGTCCTGTACTGAAATCTTGAGATTTCCTGTGGGGCCTGTACAGCCAGTGAATGACATTGCCGGACTTACTGCTCATCAGCCCGTGGTTCTTTTTTCTAGGAGTCAGACTGAGGAACTGGTGTTTCTTTCTCATCCTCTCATGAAGGAAAGAGGCTCAAGTCCCTAGAACTTTTCTGACATGACACAATCTCTCAAACAGGCTCCTGAGGTAATTCATCTTGTGACACTATCTCTATAGACTTTTCTCTTAGGAACTCTGTCTCTCTCTCTCCTTCTCTAATATTTTTCCTGTTTGTCACTCCTTGAGGTATACAACAGAGTTTTCTCCTCTCTAACCCTCTACTTCCCCATTTGTAAAATGAGGGTTTGGGCAACACCAGTGTATCCTCACCCTCTGCCAATTTTTCTTCAGCCACAGACCTTTCTTCAAATGAACTCTTGTCTTAGAAGACTAAACAAAACAGGTCAAATGGAGCTTGGGGGAGAAGGGAGACATGGTGGATAAAAGCAGCCCTCTGGCTTGTCCCTGCCTCCAGTCCAGGCTATAGGGGCAGTAGACAAGACAATCTTAGGTGTCCTTCTACTCTGATGTTCTGAGATCTGTGTCCTCAGATCTGAGCCCCACATTTCTGACCGAGTTTCACCTACCTTGGCCAGACACATCTCCCTTTTGCTGAATCCATGGCTTCTGAAGACAATGCCAACTTCAAGCTCCACTATTAATCACAAAAGGCCTTCTCACTGTCTCCTCTCACAACTTCAGATTAAGACCCTAGAGCCTCACTAATTCTCTCAGTTTGTCTAATAGTAAAATGGCCAGAGGGTGCCAGCTGCCCATAATGGGGAAGTTTAGCCAGAGGCCAGGAATTCCCAGAAGGCTGAGGATGCCTGTCTGCCAGTGTGGAAGAAGGCAGAGGCAACAAGAAGGGGAAGAGAAAAAAAGAAAGGCAATGAGAGAACACAGTCAGAGAAGTCAGAAAGGGAAACGAGACTGAGATGGCACAGCTGAGCTCTCAAAGCATGTGACCTGACCCATGATCACCAGAGTGGGCAGGAGTACCCACCAGAGGCAGTAAAGGCAGGGAAAACCAGCCAGGACTTTGAAGCTACAAGACGGAGTAAAACTGATCCTAGGATACACATCTCCTGTGAACTCAAAGGACACAGACAGGCTATAAAGTAACTGCTCAACTATACTGTTGGGAGACAAGCTCAAAGAAAGGGAAAGCAATTGCAGGCATGGAGCAGAAGAATAAAGAGAAATCTTAGAAGGGGTTACCATCTCTGCATCTTTTAGAAACTACTTTAGAAACATCTTTAGAGGTCCCTCTCGTGAAGGACAGGCGCAAAAGGCTTGGTTCAGCTCAGCACTGACCTTGTTTTTCTTGCAGGTGTCCTTTTACCTGCTAAGAGAATCTGACACTGCCACCATATGGGATCAGACTCCCAAATTCTACCTACGGTCACATGCTGGCTACC